AAGCTATTATTAATCTGTGATTCTGCTTGGCTGCTGTACTCGAGCACATAATTCATACTTCAAGTGTACAGCACATATGTGGAAGTTCTTTATCCATAGGACTTGGCAGACAGGTTCCTTAGATGAACCCCACATTCTTTCTGCATTTCCCCGAGCTGACCCCTGGCCATTATTAGGTTCTACCACAGAGCCCAGTTGCAGTGGCACTTACGTGCTATGAAGGAGAAGCCACCTACAGGTGAATTTTAAGCCTAAGATCATCCTCTGGAGAGAAGGTGTAAAGCCACATGCCCAGACATAAGGGACCTAACCATTCCAGAGTACCTGCTTGGGGCCAGGCCATGTGCTAGGCAATCAGTGTGTGCTTTGTCCTCCAATGCTCACTGCACAGCTGACAGAAAGGATTTCTAGCTTCATTTAACAGATAAGGAAACTGGCTCTCAGATGGGTGAAGGAGCCTTCACAGAACCCTGTGGTTACTACGTGGGTAACTGAGAAAGAGAACAGTAGCCTGGCAGCCAGGAGTCCACAGCACTCACAGCCAGGCTTCAGTGCTCTGTTGAATATGAATATGAACTAGTGCACTGAACATCAACGTGGGACAAGGCCACTCAGTGACCATGATGGCTCAAAACAAATCAAGACCACTCGGTAGACATGGCACAGCACAGGCAAAACAGGAGCATTGTCCACATTATAAAAATGACCAAGCATTCTTCTCTACTACCTTTAACCTTGCTCCATTCTTTCTGCCCTCAAGATAAAATTTATTAAAATAATCATACTCCCACTTCCTGAGGGCATCCCCCTTACTTTCTTGACCCTCCCTAAATTGTCTAACATAAGCTCAGTGTGGTAATAAGCCCTTCCCAATGCCCTGCTACGCAGATGCCCTTGCTCCCCTCACTGTGCTGAATAATAAGCCCAACACATTCAACTGCAAGTGTGTCCCTGGTGGACTCTGACTGCAGGAGATTGGCAGATTTCAAATCTGCGTGCTTTCATTTTTCACCGTGCCTCCCAGCAAACAGGGTATTCAACTTAACTCAAAAGTTGGGGGTTGATTTTGTTTTCATTTGCACTGTCTGCTTTTCCACCTACTTGGTTGTCCCCTAGAAATGAAGGTATTAATATGTTAAGCATAGGTGATCTTAAAGTTCATGAGTATTTGGCAAATCCCAATAAGAGAAGAATCACTTGTTCATTCACTCACATTCTCATTCTTTATGTTGTTAGCAGGTGTGCCTCCCATGCTCCAAGCTCTCACTCAGCATTTGGGGTGCTGATATGAAAGGTACAGTGGAGCTCACTCTGTAGAGCACAGGTGGCAAACACAAGGCTCATGGGCTGAATCCAGCCCTCTACCTTGTTTTATCCAGCCCAGCACCTTGTTTCTACCCAACGGCAGTGCCAAGCTTTCACTTAACTGTTAAGGAGTAGTTACATTTATATAGCCCTAAAATTACATTTGGCCCTTTGAAGGCACTTGTGAGGCTGATGCAGCCCTTAGTGAAAATGAGTTTGACACCCCTGGTGTGGAAGGTACTAGGAGATAATATAATGGCAGTTAGACAGAGGTCTGCACAGGGCACTACAGAGTCTAGGAAGCCATTATATTAGGGCTGGTTCTGAAAGTATGAACTTCCAGGTGCAGGACAAAGAGAGTCCCCAAAGGCAGAAGTTATGCCAGAGCAAAATCTCGAAGGTCAGAAAGTCCTGTCTTGTCAGGTAGACCAGAAGTACCACACAGAGGGGTTGGGGGGTGGGACATAGGAGAGAGAAGAGGGAGAAGAGGCTGGATGGGCAGGTGAAGCTGTATTGGAAAGGCCTCTTGTGGTACCCCAAGGGGTTTACATTATCATTGGGGCAATAAGGAGTCAGGAGTGTCATTCCAAGCAGGGCACTGGCATGACCAAATTCATTTCAGAAAGAACATTCTGGCAGAGGCATATTTAAAAACAATCAAACAAACAAACAAACAAAACACCTTTTTAGAAAGTCTGATATACCTGACCTGAAAGTTGACTTTTGATCCTTGGACTGGAAGGGGCATTTGCTAGTTCTAATAGACTGAGAGACTAATGGGTCTCATGTGCCCAGCTAAGGAGTTTTGACCTTACCCTGTGGGTAAAGGGAAGCCTCTGAAGGAGTTGAAAAAGGACAGAAGTGTGATCCAATCTGCCCAGAGAAAACAAACCAACAAACAGAAATGCCCAGTGTGCTGTGTTAATGTGTGATTCCAGTTAGACGTGTTAGAATATCAAAAATAGCCTCAGGACCTCATTACAACCTTGCCAGAAGTCAGGTCAGAAGTTTCTGGATCAGAGGATTTCCAAGCTCCCCTCCAGCTCTGACCGTCTAAATTTCAGTAACAAGAAAGGTAAAGCTATCACCAAACAGACAATGCATCACAGTGTCAGACTTGGGGATGATTTGCTGTGCGGGGGTTTCCACACCAGCGATCCCCTTCATCAGTGGGGATAATGGAGAGTTGACTGCACTCGTTACTGTGGCTGTGATGGGCATTTGCAGCTAAATTCCAGCACGCAGGGGATGTGTGAATATTTATCTCAGCTGCAGAAAGTTAATGCAGTGTGGCATTAATTACCCTGTCTGAGCCTGCTGTCTTCTTCTGTTTTTAGGTGTCATTCTCAGTTGAATAAATTAGTTCCAAAATTAGAAAAGAGCACATTGTAGGGTGAGATCAAGGCAGCCTGATGTCTGAAGGATCCGAAAAGGAGAGCGGGCTGAGCAAGTCTGCCCAGGGAAGATTTAGCTGCATCCTTGCAGCCCAGCATAGGACAAGGAAAGTGGCTTTTTCCAGTACTTATACTTCATAACTCCACCTTGGCTTCCCCTACCCCATCCCCAAACACAAACACACGGGAAACTTACAAGTTAGCCTTACAACAAGGATTTGAAACATTTCAAGGCATTGGTAGATAATAAATTAGCTGATTACTAAATCATCTCACTACAGATTTTGCTAGATTAGAATTCGAGAGAATTAAGGCCAAATTGGAGTACTTTTGAGGACAAAGGGATCAGAACAGCAAAGAACTTACAAACTGTATCATATTCATTTATTCAACAAACCTTTATTGAGCACATAGTGTGCTAGGTTCCCATGTAAAAGGGCAGAAGGAAGTGGCAAGCCGTAACCAGAAGCAGGACGTGGAAGAATAGGCTTCCATACTTCCTGTCATTGGGCGGCTGGAAGAAGAATGACTTGTTTTCATTATGTTTAAAGGGCAGTGTGCAGTCCATAGGCAGAGAGCAGGAAGGGACAAACAGGTGCTGATACATTGCAAAATAAAGTGCCTGGAAGGGTAAGAGGGTCTTTCTCCCTGGAAGAATACAAACATAATGAGTTCTAGAAGAAAATATCCTGGACCCTTTTCATGGCATGGTTGCTAAATAACCTCAGGACTTTGATGAAATAAGAGAGCTCTCTTCTCTGAGCTTCAGATTGCTCATCTGTAAAATGAAGGATCTGGACAAAATTATCTTCTAGTCCATTGCAACTGTACAATAAAGACAAGCAATATGATATATTAAGTACATGAGAGGCAGCACAATGACCTTGAGATCACGCACCTCTCTGACCCTCAGTTTTTATCAGCAGAATGAGGATGGAGAGAATAAAAGCTATTCCTATGACTCTTAGGCAGATAAAATAAGATATAAGGGAGTTTATAAACTCCAAAGCACTCCACAACACTATAGCTTGAAGAGGTGGCCTTTTCTTTTCTTTGTCAGCTGTTGTAATAGAGTAGAAAAAGCACTGGACCGTACTTTCAGGTCTCATGTCCCAAACTTACTGTGTGATTACGGGCAAATTACTTAACTCCTCTGTGCTTGATTTCTCATTTGCAAAAGAGATAAAGCATCTACTTTACATGGCCATTGTGATAAGTTAAAAATGTCAGTGTACTTGAAAATACTTAGTGTGCTAGACACATAGTAGGGGCTCAGAGAATGCCATTTTGATCTGATGGTTCAAGAAAATAAGCATATAAAAACATCTATACTCCCATGGCAGGAGGCAGGCTAATATATAAAATATGGCAGAGTTGCGATGTCACTATGTGCATTTAATTCTGGCACAAACACCTAAGAGTGACAGCATAAAGATCAATTTTCATGGATGGGTCTATGTATGCTGAAGACCAGAGTGTTGATCTAATCTGCTTGGCTAGTACCTCCTAGGCCTTTTTGGCATGACATCCTGAAGTGCTTTCAACAAGGCCAAATACCATTTACCATCTGTGTTTGGGTACAAAGTTTGCTGTGCCATATATTGGTGAAAATCCTGTGTGTGTATGTCTCAGGACAGCCCCATGAGTGCAGGCAAAGGACTGGCTGAAGCTGAAACAGCAGATTGAATGGAAACAAGTCCCAGAAGCTTTTCACTAAGAGCTAATGACCCAGTGGCTGTTTCTCTTGCCGTAAAGTGTGCCCAGTTGTCCTCTCTGCTTGAAGAAACCAAAGAGCAGGTTGGAATAGAATTTCAGCCGTATCAAGTGGACATTCATAAAACTGCTGGAAAAATCTCTACTTGACTCATGATGGTTGTTGCCATTCTCTGAAGACCTGTTATTGCCAAACACTGTGCTAGATGCTTTATATATTATCTCTAATGCTCTTAAGAACCCTGTAAGAGAAATGGTATTATTCCCATTTCATGGTTGGCAAACTGAGTCTCAGAAAGGATAAATATCTTGCCCATATCACACAGCTTGTCTGGCTGTCTTTACTATACCATGCTATTTGCTAGCGTAGTCTCACTTGAAAACCAAGGACAAAACTGGGTGAGTAGTTCTTGATGATAAAAAAAATTGCCAAAATGATATGCACCATGATCAAGTAATCCACAAATCACCTAAGGTCATCCATCAGCCACTGTCACCTTTCTGTTAATCCCAAACACTCCTTCCCAAGCTGTCTCAGAACTTCCTGTCTGGAAAAGAGCAGGTCTCACTTTGTCCCTCTGTCCATAGGAGCTGGAGCCTCTCTATGCGCAGATCAACAGACCTAAGAAATAGCATCAATGTGGGCTCGTGGCGGGTGCTCCAAGACTGGCATGGAAATCAGCATCGCGGCAGGCTCTCTTGTATTCTTTCACCTCACTTCATCCCATGAAGAAATTCACGATTGCCCAGTGGAACTCGGTTGGAAGAGGGAACTAAGAATTTTTGGCAACCCACAGCAGATATCTATGGCAGCACAAAACAAAAACACACACATGAAAGTAAAACAAAATCACACCCCATGTTAAATCACAAATCAAGCAAATGCTTACCTGACAAATATTCTGAGGTCACTTAGTGTGGCTTGAAGATGACCCAGAATGCAAAATGGTAATTCTCTTTTTATTTCTCTACCTGTTGCCCACTGTAGAGATGTCAAATTTGGAGTGACAGGCCTCAGAGAGGTGCATCAAGGTTGAGACTGACATTTTTAGGCAAAGCAAGATGCCCTCTGTGACCACCATCTCCTTATCCATAGGCCTTCTGACATACGATGGTGTTTTCTCATCGCTCCACAGGGCCTGGTCGGCCACTTGTTCCCATTCCTTCCCTTGTCGTGTTTGAAAATTCATGGGTGTACAAATTTTTGTATTGCTTTTGACTTTTTTAAGATATTGATGAAGAAATCTAACTGGAAAAAAGTCTCATATATAATGAATTAATAGGAAATCACAAGACAAATAAGTGGTTGATTATTCTTTATGATCAAGAATGTTGCCAAAACAACCCTTTAGCTATTTCTGCATCCTGGTGAAGAAAGGCAGCTTTCAGTTTGAACCTTCATTTTGTGAGTAGGAGAGGACATCAAAACCCCTGATGAAAAAGATGAAAAAATACATCTGACTTCCTAAGAAGCTCTAAATTCTAAGTACAATAAAATGATATTTTTTATTTTTCCGATATCTTGCTGCTGTGATGCTATGCAGTCAAGTGTCTTCTCCACATGCCATTTTCAAAGAAAAGTCATTTGCCAAATAATTCTGGTACAATCCTGGTAATGTGGCTTTGGATCTTAAAAACTGACTTTCTAATGGAACAATGGTGACATGATTATTCAGAATAACAAACTGATTCCGTGATCACAATGGTTCATCTCTATCTCTTTTTGTACATCAGAAAATTCAGATGGGATTTTTATTTTATAACTTGAAAAAAAACCTTACCATTAAACTCTTTAAATATTTAAGGGAAATGGCTTTAAGGAGTTCTAATGAAAAAAAATCGCCAGTTTTTTTTTGTAAATATAAATGTTAATGAAAATGCTTTTTAATAATGCCATTACACTGTAGAGAAGGTAGCAGATTGAGTGCAGGATGTGACGAACTTGATGGATGGGGCTCGCTTTCCAGATGTTATTCTGGAGCACACAGGAGGAAGCTGGAGTTCAGGGACAGCTGGCAGCAGCAGTTGGCCAATCAGCAGCTAGTGAACAGAAAGGGAGCACGTGACTCCATCATCTAATCTAGCCTTTCCACGAAAGCACCCGCCCCCTGCATCAAACAAGAAAAAGGCAATTCACATTTCGAAGTTCCGTCCTTCAGGTTCTAAACCTCCCTCCAACTTCTACAGTCCCACCCACCCCTATAGAAATCACTGGACTGTTTGTACATGAAACAGAAGAATTTAAGCTTCCTTTTTTTACATTTATGAGACAAAAAGTGCAGTGTTCGGTTCATATGTTTAGCACATGATTTTCACAAAGAATATATATTTTTGCCCTACAGAGAATTGTTCTACAGGTCAAATGTGTTTTCCTGATGTTCCTATGCAGTTACAGTATGTTGAATTTAGTGGTTTAACACTAAAAAGAAAACTTTAAAGAAGCATGTGATTAATTGGATTTGAGGGTAATTACTATTACTTGGTTTTAAAATTTGAAAATTAGAATTTACATTGATATGACCAACTTAAATAAGCCTGTGTACTTTGGTTCTTCATATCAATAGAAACTAAAATGATTTGGAAGAAGGTATGCCTGCTCACAAAGAAAATTGATAAGTCCAAATTTTACATTAGTAGGTCACTGGAATCTAACTTTGTTCCAGATAGGGAAACTGACCAGATGTCCATTACAGAATATATGTAAATGTCATGCTAATGCAGAAGGTCTGAAGAACCTGGAAAGTAAGAAGGGCCATTTACCTCCCTCTGTAGCTATCACCTGTTTGTCCCCATGATTTGTCCAGGAACGTGCACACATTGTATGATTAGGTAATCTTTTCACATGAAGGGGGAAATGAGAAAGGTGTGCTAACCATAAAAGTTGTCCCGAAACCAGCTTGATGGTATGCTTTGGGGATTTGATGAGACAGGCAGTTCCCATTAACAAATGGCTGAAATGACAATGCTGTCTGTGACTCTGATTCTAAACAAGTGGTGCTATCTTCCCCCTCAATGTGGCTGTCTTGAGTGTATCTGGCAGTATCACACCCTAATACTGAGTCTTGGGGTTGCTTCTGACACGTTCAAAGGGAACTGTGGCGGATGTCACTCTATCAGGTAAGCCGTCGAGAGCTAATTTCACAGCAGAAGGTGACGACAGCCTGGTGGACTTGACCATTCATTGAATGTGATTGAAAATGTAACTGGCTCAAAACTTAAAGAAGATGGCTCATGTGATGCATTCGGTGAGGGAACTAGAGTCAAGATTTTAAACTGCCATCCATGTTACCACTGGCAGAATTCTGGTTTTTAAGGAACGCTGTTTGGTGAGCTCAGAACCACTGTGTCCTGTGCCAGGACTACAGTGAAATGTCCAGATGAGCTGAGGTGCCCATATCGAAAGGCCGTGGGGAGTCTGCACGGTTCCAGTTTGACTGATAGCAAGTACATGTGTGCAGCTGTTAATTTCGCATCCTTCACTAGCACTAAATTTGTCACTTTAAATTTTGAAACCAGGGAAATGCCACCTGTCATTCTGTCCCCATGCCCCATAGCTCTTCAACCTTCACATGCCGCAGACGTTTTGGATAATTTGTGCTCATCCCATTGTCGGGCGAAACCCATCCTGTCATGTACCGGGCACCTTCTTTTAAAAAAAAAAGTTTACTCTGTGGGTTTGGTTCATTTCAATCTCTGTGTTCTGACATATTTTTTTAATAAAGATGAGAAAGAGAAAATGACTGTTGCAGTACATTTCTAGACCTACTTTAATCTTACCTCAGATGACAGTTTGTTAACATATATGGACACATTATTTTTAACTTTATGTACAATGCATTCAACAGAACAGCAAAATTTTTAGAAATTTTCCATTAATTTCTGTAACACACCATGTAAAACTTACAAATAAACATGTTTGAGAACAACAGCTCAGCCTGGTTTTATTCCACAAGTTTCTGCTGGATATTCAGGCGAGGGACTAGAAGAGGAAACAGCTTCTGTCTCAGCTTCCACCTGAGCAGGTGAAGGCCTGTTTTCCTGGCACCGGGCCAGAAAGAGAACGCTTCTGTCAGAAGTTCAATCAGTTCATCTTCATTTGAATTCAGGCAGTTGATACGCTTGGAAAATCAGCGACGGTGAGGAATGAGGAGGATGTTGTCAGGACAAGAACACGCCTCGCAGATGTGTGGTATTTGGACCACATTTAGCATGAGACTTTCAGAGTTGGGAAGGACCCAAGGACTAACCCTACGGGTTTATGAATTCCCCTTAAAAAAAAAACTACCTTGCTAAAATGTTGGTTGTTAAACCAAGCTTCACCTAGACTGTCAAAGAGTCTGCCTTAGTTCATTTCAAAGTCAGTTGCTTTAAGGGACCCAAAGAAGGAAGCATTTCTTTCCCTTCACATTCCCCACCCACTCCATACCCAAAAACATAGAACAAAAAGAAGTCTGCAGCTGGACCTTGACTTTTATATGTATTGGAGAACAGAAAAATATGTATATATGTTTATGTATGTATATATTTATGAGCATATGTATGTGTGTGTCATTTTCATTTCCTCTTGCTACTAAATCAGTTAGTCTAGCCAATAATCAGCCAGATTACAGATTACAATTAGGTCATTGAGATGCCAGAAAACACCTCTGTTGAGGAATGGTTATATTAATGTTGCACAAACACATGCCTGCAACCTGGCCTTCTTATACAGAAAGTATTAAACAGATGTTCTCACCGACTTTGCAAAAATGAGAGAACAGACTTAGATTCCAGCAAAATAAATGTGAGGCAGCTAGAAGAAACCACTTTCATACAATGAGAAATGCTCACTCCTGGATGAAATTGCTAAAAAATGTTCCACCAGCTCTCCTGAATGGAAGCAGTGGCTCATGCTTGAGCAACTAGTATGTGCCTGCTGGGTGCTAGACAACATGAGCCAGGGATACACTGTGCCCATCTCACAGAGAAAGAAACTGAGCCTCGGAGAGATTGAGTGGATGACTTGGTAGAGTTGGGGTTTGAATATTGAGTCTTTACTTGTAGTTAATTTTTATTTTAAAAAATAGTTGGATATTCACTCTTTTAAATAGTTCTGCATAGGCTTGTTGCAAAGCATCAACTTCCTGTGCCTCTTCCCAGACTTGTTGTTGGTCTTGGTAATAAGTTAGATGTCTGAGTTCCTCCAGTTTTGAGGAAAATAAAAAATCTATTAGATGTTATTCTCTGAGGTATGTTGCTGAATACACAGTTTCACCTTTAATGGGCACTTTTGGAAGGATGTGTGCCTGAGGGACAAAGAATACACCTTTTTTGCCCAACTAGTGCGAGTTTAGCTGAAACCAAGTGCTGGTGGTTTCCTTTTCCAACCTAAGTGCATCTTAAAGAACTGACAAATTAAAAGGTGTCCTATTTAACTGGTAGTCGGATGCCAAAATAAATCAGGCAGACATCTCTGCTTTCATTTTGTGCTTGCGAGCAAACCCTTGTTGTTTTGACAGTAAATGTTTTTTGTTTTACTCAGAATGACAGTAGGAAAAACGCCTAGAATAAAAACAGGTTTCATTGAAATCAACCTTTAAAGCTTTGAAAGCTTTTAAAAGATGTTTAAATTCAAGGGTAATGTGAGCAACGGTGCCTGAAAGTTTTGTGGGTTTTTTTTTTTTGAAAAAAAGGATGTAAATGACTTTCAAACCATTTGGTGGCCGGTCCTCAGGATTTATGTTGCAACATGAATAACAGCTCCTCCCCATAGGCATCATGCTTTTTCTAACCATTAATTATAAGTCCCTACACAGACCCCGGGAGGAAAGAAGTATGCTCCCCATTTTATAGCTGAGGAAACAAAGTCAGAGATGTTGTGAAACAGCTGTCAATCAACAGAGCCGAAGAGCTCACCCAGAGGTTCCCAGGGCCTGATTCTCAGGTCTCTCCTTTACTCCACGGTTGCTTCTGTCTGCAGGGTTTCTGTGATGTCAAATTGCTCATGCACCTTCTGTAAAACAGTTTGAGTCTTTTTGGTATTCAGTTCCAAGCAGTGTCTATTATATTAGAAAAATCACACCATGCATTATCCTGACTGGTTAGTACAGAAATTGATTCCTAAGTAAAATGACTGCACGTATTTTAAAAACAAAGGAAAAACACAGTTTTCTTCTCAAGAACAGTAACAGCTCTAACCCAATCTAATGAATATTTCATTTCAAAACAAAATCCTTGTATTCACTGAATCTTCCAAGGTACAGAGATCTGAAAAGGGAACCTTTTTGAACAGGCTCTCTGTTCATCCTTTGCTGAAGAATATGAATGACTGTCTAGTGGAAAATGTCTAAATATTCTTGCAGGAAGTCAGCCTCTGGTGACTTGGGTCTTTAATCTTCTGAACAACCTCTTGCTACTTTTATTGCTCGTGCTGGGGTCGCAGCCTGGAGTGAGAAACAAGCAGGAATGGTTGGGGAGGAAATAAGCAGCAGTCTGGGCTGGCAAACCATCAAACAGTAAAATGCTAGCCTGTACATCAC